AAGTTATCATTAATTAAACTTAGATTAAATAAATTTCATTAAACAGCACAGACTGTTTGGCGAGAATAAATATGTAGTTGTTAGGTAAAATTTTCTTTCTGTGCAGGGCAATAGTAAATTGCAGTAGGTTTTCAGGCCTATTTGCACCAGCGGCAAGCTAAAAGCAAGCACTTTTTTTGGTGCCTGGGAGGGCAGAGAAAGAACATTCAGCTCACAGGCTGTGCTCGGTGCCTGCACAGGGAACAAGCAAAGGCAGAGAACACTGTCACTTGGATGAAGACCCAGTGCAGACATCAAGAAGTGACCCAGATGCAGCTGCAGAAGCAAGTGACAGGGAGGTAACATGCTGCTGCAATTTACTTTTTGCTGCTGGACTTCAGTGTAAGAGTGAGGGTGACACTGGGGAAAAAAGGAAACTCTTAAAAGAACTGAGCTCTTTCACATCTTCCCCAGTCACTGAATCCATCCGTCCAACTAGGGATGCTCACCCACTGCGGTTAGGTACTCAAATAACTACTCCCACTGTGGCTGGCCAAAAAACTATGCCCTATTGGCACAGTGATATGTAGAGAGCAGTCCCTGACTCTTTAACTGCTAGGCTTAACCACCCACCATAACTATTCATTAAACTGCACACCCAGATAAAACCTCCAGCTGTTCCTAAAAACAACAGCTCATCAACAAAAGCCAGCATGAGCACCTCAGGCAAATGCTTTGCTTTTGTGTGAGCTCCCTGTTGATTAAAGCAACCCAAGGCCCCTTTCTGACCATCAGGGCTCACAGAATATTTGGCCACAGCTGAAAGGGAGGTGACTTTCTTCCCTGTACTCCAAATTGCCACACCATTTACATTGCTCTCAAATCTCAAAGCTCATAAGTGACAGGCTCCCTGTGTGGATGCAGACCCTTCAGAAGAGATGGCCCAAGACAGGGGAAGGGTCTTTTGCCATTGCTGCTCGCAGGACTGTCAAATGGATGTGGCCAAGCTCTTGGATTAAACAAACTTTGCTATTACTGTATCAGTGCTGGTTTGCATGTTTACTACCTTGCCCATTTCAGACTTCACTGAGCTGAATCTTAATAAACATATATTCTGAATGAATTTCTGTTATTGTTGCTTCCTCCTCCTCCCCTTGGCCATTAAGACTCATTATGTGGAGTCATCAGCTGTTTTGCTTTGTTTCCCATCTGTTCATACAGTACGTGGATTCTGAGATAACACTGCAGATGGGAGTGCAATTTCCACTGTTTTGATTTTGCCCCAGTGGGGCTTCATGTGGCCACTGGTGGAAAAATTGCAATGGTTTTGATTAAAGATTTTCTATATTATAGAAACTTGTCAAATCTCAAAATTTTTAAGATCGTGTCACTGGCTGGAGTCAGTGGCAGCCTTTTTCTAAGAGGATTATCAATCTTTTCCCCATCTACAATGCCTCCATTCTTTGAAATCAACAAGGACTCTTTTTTGAGAATAAATCTTGTGCAAGTTCAAGTCACAGGAAAAACCACTCCTGCCCGTGAATGGGAAGAAGGTCGTATTCTGGTCCCAGCAACTGGAACCTAATGAGACTTTGACAGGCAAGTCTAATCTCCTGTAGCCACTTCATATTCAACCATTCATATTAGACCTTTCACTTGTGTATCAGTTAGACTGTCATATTGGCACACTGTTCCAGTCCTCTGATAACTAGCAAACCAACTCTCATTTGCAGCCAAGGTATACTTTGATCAGCTTATGCCTATTTGATCCCACGCCTGAGTTGTCCTTTTTCTCAAATACCTGTTCTCTCTCCCCAGTTTTTATTCCCTTCAAATCCATTTCAACCTTTGCTCTGAGAGACTGAACAAAGCACTGTCTTCTACAGCTTCTTGCTGAAAAAATATGCTCTCCACTCTCCTCAGTCTCCCACAACTGTCAGGTGAACTTGTTTCAATTTATATGCACCCATCCTGATGATGGGAGCCAAAGCACTGCTGCCAGTCCTGAACCCAACATACAGGCATGTACCTGCTCCAGCTTCAGCCCCTTCCACTGCTGCTTGGTGCTGTGTTTTTTCCTAGTCTGCATTTTGAGATTTATTTTAATATTTCAGGACATGACTTCAGTTTGGTCTCAGACACATCTTGAAAATGCCCTTTCTCCCCCTCTGCATGCATTTGCTAACAGAGATTAAGTGGCTACAACAATTATTCTCTGGTTCCATTTCCTGTTGCTTTTCTTCAAGATATATAAATCATATCTTGATTTCTCAGCATCTCTGCTACTAAAATTTCTGGACACTACATTTGGAGTAGGTTGTGCCCAGGGTGACAGCAATCTTTAGTTGTAGGGGATGGCAGCACTTCATTCCACAGGGGCATTTCTCTGTGGTCACAGTGCAAGACTCAGTTACTACAGCAGCACTGAGCTCAAAGATTAAGAATGCTTTCATACACAACTGGTCCAGTGGCAGCTCAAGCAAGGATGCGCTTGCGTGGCTTTACGTCAAGTGGCCATAGAGTCAGGAGGGGCTGCAACTCTGCACCATGTCATGCAGCAGGACAGTGCCATAGAGGGGAACAACCACTGTAGCTCCAGACTTCTGGATAAATCCACCTCCCATAAGCACTGCCCTTCCCTGCAGCGGATTACTGGGCAGGTAAACCTGCAGTGATACCTGGGAAGTCAGAGAGAAGAGGACCCATAATTGTTCAGCAAGGCTTTTCATCCTTAAATTGCAGAAACCTAAAAAGGCTCAGTCTTTATATATTTACCCCTTTCAGAGGAATAAGTTGCTAAAGAAAAGGTCAGTAACCTTGACCTTTTTTTGGTTAAACCCAACATTTCACCAGAGAAACACAAAATTAACATGTTACCTAAGAATGTATGCTGTGAGTGGAGGAGAAGAGGAAAGATTTTCAATGAAACTACAAAATTGCTTTAATAAGGGGAGAAGTGACAGGACAATTGTGAGGGAGTTATATTTAAGATGAAGAATAATGTTAGAAGATCACCTATGTATAGCATAAACCTCCCTGGAGTAACCAGGAATCTCAGCTATAGCCTGAGTTTCTCATTGTCTTAGAGATATATGAACCTAAAGAGGCAAGGAGGGGAGATATATAAAAACAGGTATTGCTGGTAGAAGTCTGGAGACCTTTTAAGATGCCTTAGATATAAATCTGGTCTAACAAATCTAATAACACACACAGTCATGCTTTCTGAGCATAGGCTTTTACCTATGCTTAGGCCAAACCATAATTTCAGGGGAAGAAGAATCAAAGCAAATACTCAGAGGGGAAAATCTGTTGAAACCATGAACTTTTCACCTCTAACAACAAGTAATGACCACAGGGTGCAAGATCAGATGGTTGACTTAACTGCCGAGTAACAAAATTAGGCTAAAAGTTAGATCTAGTCTGCCCAGAGGCAACATGACAAATTAGATTCATCCACTCCCCATATTTGTATTAATGTGCTTTTGTATTAGTGAACAGATTATAAAAGAAGGCTTTGCCTTAAGGCAGGGTTTTTTGGCACTGAACTAATTTTCAGGCCGAGGTTCTTCCCTAAGGGCATGATAAGATCCTCCCTTCTGTGCAGTCACAAATCCTCTCCTCAGCAAAGATTTACCTGTGAGCAGTTCTTAACACTTTAGAGCTTTAAAAACCTACAAATTTCTTTCTATAAAGCTAAAATGTATACTCTTGAGATGTGTTTTAATAACAATGAAATATTTAGTCAGTATTTTTCTAAGATTATTCTGTTCAACTGTCAATATTAAAAAAAATAAATAATTAAAATCAGCTCTCTGGGACAGGCTCTGTAAACTCAACCCAGCTCCCAGTCTTGGCTGGCAGTCAGTAGTAAGAATTGCTGACAATGCAACTGACAGTGCAATGGCTGCAGTTCATACCCCCTCAGTCTTGCAGCCCTGTGAGCCCTTGATGTCGGTCACAAGTGTTTGTGTTTCCTGCACGAGGCCTCACTTTGCAGGCACAGCTGTGTGGCATCCCTCTGACCTGGGAGGGAGCTGTGAATCGAGAATGCATTTCTTTTTCCTCTGAAGATGAAAGACTTTTAAAATTAATTGCATGACATTATGGCTTGTCTGTGTTGTCAGCTTTGATTTTGCTGTGACAAAATGATGGCCGCTCCCTGTCAGAGAGAGTGATGCCATGCCTGTTAGCACTGCACTCATCAAGTGGCAGCAGCGAGGAAGGCATCACTGCGATCTCCATGGAAAGCAGTTTCACGGAGTGGGATGCCAAGGGTGAGGCGAGCGCAGATGTTACAGTCACACGGGGAAGCCGACCTGGCCACCACTCACTGCAGCTGGTGTTGGCTAAGCCATACCACCCACAATCCTGTGCCAGGTATCCAACTTCCTGACTGCATCCTCAGAATCAGTCCAAATTGCTGAGGGTGATACTCTCCAGAGGTGTTATTTTGAGCATTCAGAGCTAAATGCACAATCACTAGAACTAAAATCAGAGCTCTTAAAAGAACAGCTCTGCAGCTGCCTTTGCAGGGCTTGATGAAGCCAGCAGGAGCAGAAGCAGAGGGAGAAAAGCAACCCCTTTTCCCTTTAGAGGGCAGTGGTGTTCATCGTACAACAGCCACATTTCTAAGGAGGTAAATCCCTTATCGATAACAACTGGGTCAGCAGCAGCAAAGCAGAGGCAAGTAATAGGGACCAGCACTGAAGCAGTGCTGCTGGTTGCACTGCACCGTACAGAACAGCATCTCGCTCTGATATACTTTCTGTAATGCTCTGTGCAGGGGCTCATTAATTTCCCCTCATTTTCATGCACAGTAATCAGACAAGTAATTACGGTTCCACTGAGAGGCTTCCTTTCTCCCACCACACCATGAGCGCAGTCCATGGTGAAGGGCTCCTTACCATCAACATTTGCGAAATTACAGCTTCTCTTTGAGCCAGATGAACCCTTCCTGTGAGATTTATGCCAAACCTGTTCAGAGAGCCAAATAAGAGATGATTTCAAAGGCAGTACTGTACCTTTTCATGGGTTTGGGTGAAGCTTCCCGCTCCAGGTTGGAGGACGCGTGCTTCACGTGCATGGCGTTGTAGGAGGTGTGGGTGTACTCGTTTTCGTCGCTGTAGTCGGGACCAAGTAACGTTCGAGCCCATGTGCCCATGTCGTAGGGAGGAAGAGTCCCCCCGAATTCAGAGGGCAGGCATTCAGGGTGTATTAGCTGGTGAAGGCTGTTCAGGTTGTTACCATGAAGAAAGATCTTTAACAAATAAAAGAAAGTTCAAAGTCATCATCGACTCCTTACTTCATTAAGCACAATAATAGCAGCACTAATGAGGTGTGGAGTGTCATTAGTTGACAATGCAGTTTCAGGTGGGAATTTCTAAAGCCCTCAGGGTTGGCTCAGTGGATGAGGGGGTGGGTATTAGCTTTGGGGTGGGCAGCTGAAGAGTTAGCCTGGCACTATAAACACTTCTGAAAACTCCGATTAGCTTGCTTTTAGCGATGACACTTCCAATTTCTTAAGTGCCAGATCAGGAGAAATGGAAGTCAGGAATTATGACTGATTATCGCTACTGTAAGAGGTTAGAGAAGTGAGAAGAAAAGGGTGACAGCAGAGCTTACTGAAAGTAGATGTGAAGAGTAGGTCTTCAGCATTTGAGAGGGCAACCAACCCTGCACTCCAGGACTGACATTTCCCAGGGGTGTACCAGGCTGTGTTGCCACTTTGCACTACTTCAGCACCATCTGTCTCTCTAATCCCTTTTTGCTTTCAGGCTGGTTCTACCCTTGTCCTGCCTAGTCAGACAAAACTCAGGGTGGGCTCTGGGGCCTCCTGAGGGATGATCCAGTCATTGGTTGACACACTGCAGAGAACAAATGGCTAAGATGACTGCCAGACCACAATTCACATGGGTTTCAGTGGAGAAGATCTGCCTCTTCCACAGTATCAGAAAACAGCCTTCAGGCACAGGCATTTTTTTGTGGAAACGAGTTACCACCATGTGAAAACAGTCAAGTTCCTGAAGGAATGAAATAGGAATTTTTACTCCAACAAAAAGAGTTGAGCTGAAGTTTCCTTCACTTGCAAGTAACTTCAGCCAGGCTTGATAATCCCTCCACACTGATGATTCTCTTCTATCCCTGGGCATGTCCCAGTAAAATGTATCCACACTTTGTTAGTGACAACGGGCTTCTAGTCCCTAGCAGAGTTATTGATTTATCCCAGACCATTGAAAACCCTAAGGTTTAAAAACAGCAGCAATTCTCTGAGGCCATATGCAAAATGCAGAGAGAAAAAGAAGAGAGCAGGCAGCTACTCGGTTACTCCAGGTCTGTAGCTTCCTATCCACCCTCCATCACCCGACCCCCATCTAATTACCCTTTTCCTTGTCTTGTCTTTGAGAAACGGTTTGATTAGCGTGTACAGGGCATGGATGTACCAGGGCTGATTGACAAAATGGACTCCTCCAAAACGTGCAGGAAAGCTGTCCTATAGAAAGAAAGAAAGGCAGTTAAGAGTCGCAGTGCTTTATTCCGGCAGTCAATAGGATGAAAGTCAGAGGAAGAATCTGCCTCTTTCCATCTGCAAACGAGCACTGGGCTTGCTGAGAGGGGGTAGAAGAAAAATAGAAAAAAAAACCCAACAAAAACAGACGCCTGAAAACGTTTGTATCAGTTTCCTCTGTTGGCAGAGGCAGTCCCTTCACCCCTCCACACGCTGATGCATCAGTTGCCGATGAGATGCCTATGATTTAGAGTCGGGTCTCCAGCCACTTAGCATGAACATTTTTTAACTCCATCAGGGCATCTGACTGGGCCGGCCTGGGAAGTGAGAGGGGGTTGATAAGCCCCGCTCCCTCGAGGGGAAGCTTTCTAATTTCTCATTGTGCAGCTCAAGGCAAACCCCCAGTTCCCACGCACATCGCTGCTCAGCGCTCACCTTTTCACCCTTCGGCCTCCCTGCCTCCCCCTGCTAAAATCATCATTACAATGGCTGACCTTTAGGGGTGAGCAAGCAGCTTATTACAGGGAGGAGGATGGGTGGGAAATGCTGATGAGTGAAGGTGTAGGGAGAGCGCACCATGACGGCACCATGGAAACTGCTGGAGCCGCGCTCGCTCTCGCTGCCAGGCTGAGCTCAAACACTCTCGGCATTAGTATGCAGGTAACGTCCTGCTGGCGAGGTGTTCGCTATAGCATCCTACCCCCGCTCCGCCAGCCTGGCACGCTTAATAGGAGCTTGCTGGCGTGTCTTTAAAGGTTATTGTATATTGTGAAGGGTATTTCGTACCTACAATCTTATCTAACAAATGTCAGTCAGGGAAGACCCTAGGATTTTTTTGCATTGCATAAATAATGGGACAACTGCTGCTCCTGTGTGCAAATACGCTTCCAGGGAGAGGAGAGAGGCCCGTCTCTCCACTGTGAAAGGAGATTCTGATGAAGCCGTCCTCATCCTGTGTGTGCTCCTAACCCCTACAGCTCAGCATGTAAAGCAGAGCATAATCAGGTCTCTTCCTTCAGGGCTTTGGCTCTGGGACGCAGGTAGGTTCCTTTCCCCCACAATTAGCACAGGATGTCTTGGGGTTTTCTCTCGCTTTCCTCTGGAGCATCAGAGATTGAGAACAGCTGGGGAGAATACGGGGTGGATTTGTGAGATGATATGAAAAATCCTCTTATACACCTGCTTGGTAGAGCTTCTGTGCTGCTTCAAGGTCAGTTTTTTCCCCAGATTAGCATTATGTATGCATCCACCACCTCCTGCCATGCAGCGCAGATCAGCAGGACTCTCCATGCCTTTTAGCACTGGCCATGGGTTGCCGTGGCAGTCATCGTAAACGATACTCAGGTAATGTTTGTGAGCAGCCACAGGCATTAAGTGATACCTTTTTCTTTTGCTATACAGTATTTTGCTATACAGCTGCTTCCAACTCAGGTCAGTTGACCTGAAATCATTACAAGTCTCAATATTAGATGCTCTGTGAAAGACTGTTGGGTAATCAGGCCATCCTGAAGGAGGACAAGCAGTGCAACATTACAGGTGATCCCATTTTAAATTCTAGTAAACTATGAATTGAACTTTTAAGACCCCACCTTGTCTGGGGTCCTCACATAAGAATGGTGTTGAATCTGTTAGAGCGAGTCCAGAGACGAACCACAAAGGTGATCAGAGGATCAGAGCACCTCTCCTACAAAGACAGGCTGAGAGAGTTGGGTAAAGAGGGGTTAAGAGGACAGGTTTAGAGCAGACATTAGGAAGAAATTCTTTCCTCAGAGGGTAGTGAAGCACTGGAACAGGTTGTCCAGAGAAATTGTGGATGCCCCATCCCTGAAAGTGTTCAAGATCGGGTTTGATAGGGTCCTGAGCAACCTGATCTAGTGAATGGCATCCCTGCCCATGACCAGGAGAATTGGAACTAGATGACCTTTAAGGTTGTTTCCAACCCAAGCCTTTCTATGATTCTATTTTATGATTCTATGATTCTTTTTAAGGATGTTCTGTTGAGGTGTTCATTTGTAATAAAGATGACTGTATTTCCACTGCTACTGGAATATTCATTAGAATTTAGGGATGCAGCTCTGACTGAGATAAATTACTGCAGTGCTGCAAGTTGTAGTGACTTCAACTGGGCTGAGCCAAGAATCAGCTACAGAGAGTCTGAGCCCACCTAGAAAAAACATGGCCTGACAGAAGTATGAAGTGAAGTCCAAAGTGATTTTCTACCATGTGATAACCTAAAATTGTGTTTTAGAGCAGACCAGAGCCATAAAATGGCCATCTCAATTAAAATTCACATATTCAGTTGCCTTTCTCGCACATGGGAATGAAAATTTTGATTTGAAATTTTTCACAGATTATTCTAAAAAAATCTTAAGACAAACTGGAATGTTCCGTGTTTACCTTTGTTTATTTATTTATTTATTTCACAGAATCACATAATCACAGAATATGTTGAGTTCGAAGGGACCCACAACGATCATTGAGTCTGACAGGATCCCTACAAATCTATAGGGCCTGATAGGATTCATCTCAGAATCCTCTGAGAGCTGGCTGATGTCATTGCAAATCTCTCTCAATGGTTTTTGAGCAGTCTTGGGAATCCAGAAAGGTCCCAGTTGACTGGAAGCTGGTGAACATTGTCCTACTTTTCAAGAAGGGCAAGAGGGAGGACCCTAGAAACTACAGGCCTGTCAGTCTCACTTCAATGCCTGGGAAAGTTATGGAGAAGATTATTCTGGGAAGTACTGAAAAACATCTGAACAATGCAGTAATTGGTCAGCATGGTTTCATGAGAGGAAAGTCCTGCTTGTCAAACCTGATTTCCTTTTATGAAAAGGTAACTCGCCTAGTTGATCAAGGGAAGCCAGCTGATGTAATATTTTTGGACTTCAGTAAAGCTGTTGATACTGTCCCTCACAGGATCCTTCTGGACAAAATGTCCAGCACACAGCTGGATAAACACATCATGCAGTGGATGAGCAATTGGCTCACAGTTCAAGCACAAGGGGTAATAGTGAATGGGATAATGTCAGACTGTCACTAGCGGGGTCTTGCAGGGCTCCATCTTAGGCCCTGTGCTCTTCAACATCTTCATAAAGGACTGGAAGGGACACTAAAGAAGCTGTTGACTCCCTCGAAGACAGAGAGGCCCTGCAGAGAGACCTTGACAAACTAGAGGTCTGCGCAATCACCAACTATATGAAGTTCAATAAGGGAAAGTGCCGGATTATGCCCCTGGGATGGGGCAACCCCGGAGGTATGTACAGACTAGGGAACAAGATGTTGGAAAGGGACCTGGGTGTCCTGGTTGATGGCAAGTTGAATATGAGTCAGCAGTGCCCTGGCAGCCAGGAGGGCCAACTGTGTCCTGGGGGGCATCAGGCAAAGCATCACCAGCCGGCTGAAGGACGGGATTGTCCTGCTCTGCTCTGCGCTGGTGCAGCCTCACCCTGGATATTGTGTTCAGTTTTGGGTGCCATCATATAAAAAAGACAATAAGCTATTAGAGAGTGTCAAAGGAGGGCAACAAAGATGGTGAAGGGCCTTGAGTGGAATCCATATGAGGAGTGGCTGAGGTGACTTGGTTTGTTCAGCCTGGAGGAGACTGAGGGGAGACCTCATTGCAGTTTACAACTTCCTCATGAGGGGAAGAAGAGGCAGAGACACCGATCTCTTCTATTTATTTCTCTATTTATTTTTTTTTCTTATTAATTCTGTATCTATCAAGCTGGCTGCCATCTAACAAGTTGTATCTCTAAGGAAGAAGTTCTGCACACCTTTGCTCTTTGGGAGTAAATTGCCATAGCTGTTCCCAGGCTGAACTGTAGCAGCACAGGTCAGTGTAGAAGACACAGTCTGAGTCTGAAGCACAAAACAGTAAATGAGAAATGGGAAGCAAGGGAGTAACTTTAAGACACAGAAATTTATACCGACCCAAAAAAGAAAAATTGTTTTGCCTTCTTACTGGAATGCACAAATTATATTAATCGCAACCTTCAGTGAGAAATGTCATTTGGACTTCATTTCCAAGGGAGAATGTGGTTTTTTTAGAACATGTTGACCAGCCTTAACAATACCATGTTACCCAGAAAGGTCTAAATACTGAGAACTACAGGTATCAGCCAGAGGTTTAAACTGGCAGTCTGCCTTTGGAAAAGGTCGACTATGGAGCAGGATGTACTTTCCTATATAGAAAATTAATTTTATGTCCACCCAACACAGATTGTTGAGTCTATAAACTAGATTCTGTTTGATACATTTGTAGATTAAGTATTACAGGAAAGCCCGTCATATAACAATTTTATTTAAAAGCAATTGCTTTCTTTTCATTCTGAAGGTGCATCTAAAAATGCACATAGACCCTTGAAAAGGAAACATGATGGTCAGGAAAAATAACAAACACCAAGGAACATCTTTCTGCGTGTAAATTTCTGCTAAATTTTTTTCCTTGCCCTATTAAGCACAATAAACTCGATTTGACCTTCATCCCTCAGTCCACCTGCATTTGTAAGGCTGTCAATTAGAGCAAGGACAAAGACAATTTTTTTTTTAAAGCAAAGAAATTTGATGTGGGAATCATCCAGACACTATCTGGAACTGCAACATACTAATTTTACATGAGTCCCTAATTAGAGCAGAGCTGTCTTGGAAAGAAAAGCTCCTGTCTGGAGGTCTGCCTTGTGCAGCTCCAGGAAGATGTATGAGACGCTTCCCACACCCCACTCAGTGTCTCTGATGCTTTCCCTGGGGCAAGGTGAAAGTAGCTGAAATTGATTTTCTGCTGGAGAGCTTTTGCTTTTAGGAATTCTCTTTTGATTTCTCATGACTTGTGATTCCTTAGGAAAGTGTATTTTATAATGAGGTATACTTTTTGGAGTCTGCTGTGAAATGGACCATGGGATCATGGAGCCTTTTCTTGACCTGATTCCTTGGCAAAAATACCCAGTTCTGAGGATATATTTACATTTTATTTCAATGGAGTAAATGAA